GTTCTGATATAACTGATGCTAGCTGCATCTATGCTAAACTCTTTTGGAGCCGCCATTTTTGTTTATCAAGAGTCTTCTTGCTGCCAATACTTTCTCAAAAGGACTCTGATTGGTCCAGTACCCCTGTAGTTTGGTCACAAACATATATTGAAGCCTAGCGATATTGGATTCCCACGTGATCTTGGGATTCCAGCTGCTTTGCAAATGTTTTTCTTACAATATTTGATAATTTTCTCTGATAAAATTGTTTGCAAAAATGGCAAAAGAGGTAAAAAAACCCTTCCTGTAGTTCAGAAAATCACAATAGATAAAACAGACATGAAATACTGTCTCCATATGGAGGTTAAAAAAAAAACACTTCCCCAGCAGAAGAAAGGAAGGGTCTAATAGCATGACCTTCACTTCCAGGTCACCATTGAAATGGTGACACTCAGCTCTCAGTCTGAGTTTGCACTGAGGGGATTCAGACTGCCAAAAGTGAGCATGAGCAACTTTAATTATTACGAGTGTGAGAATCCCTGCTGTCGGCTCAAATGTAGTTACACAGTTCCTCTTGCTGCTCAGATCACCTGTTCACACTCAAGATTCTGTCCTCCCTCGTGCACAAATCTAATTCTGCTCTCACAGATTGACTTGCAGACTGATTAGCTCTGGAATTTGTTTTGCTTTCTCAAATCGTGTCAACAATATACTTTCATTCGAGAAGATGTCAAGTAACTTCCAGGTGCTGCCAAGCCCCTGCTGGACCTGGACCATGAAACTTCAAAACCTCATCTACAAAGACTTGGAAATAGGATAAATTTGCCATACACAAGAGGCCAAGGACACCATTGTTGGGATGAGAGAACTACATGCGATGAATCCTCTTAGCCCATGTTTCATGGCGCCGTAAACCAATTGTATTTTGTTACCTAAGCCATGTTTGCTGCCCCCAGTGGTTTATACACATCATTACAAACACCTCTGGCACATGTACATGCATTTAAACATACTGGCTGCTCCCTCCAGTAACAACAAGCTTTAAATCAACCAGCACTGAGACATAGGCTATGTTCTCAGAAACTGCTGCCTGTCTGGACTGCATGCCCCCCACCGATTGTAAATAAAGCTCAGCAACTAAATCCAGCACACTGGCCTAAGGCAAGAGCTGCATCTAAAGACTCTGTGTTGTAGAAACGTGCCAAGTCCTGCTTGCCTTGTGTCAACAACAAACTGGCAGTGAACAATAATGGACAATACCTGGAGGAAATAGGTCTAGTAAGCAAATGTAGGCAAATTAAAGCTGTGCCAGGCAATTATTTGATGTAAAAAATATGTCATCTTGTCAGTGCAGATCAGAAAATGGGGCACTAGTAGAAAGTCTGACAGAGAAAGTGAACCATCATCAAGTCAAACAAACCCTGGCTCCAACAATTTACTCTGAAATACAACTAATTTGCCATGGCCCACCCCCCACCCAGTGTCGGCAGGGAGAGGCTGGGAGTTCTCAACCTGGGGTCCTTGAGGGGGTTCCATGGGCAGAAATGAGCCCAATAAGAGAATGTATTAGAATGACTATTCTGTTCATATTTCTTCACTGTTCCAATCTACAGTATAGACAGTTCTGGAATGACTCAATCTTATCAGATGGGAATCCCTGGGACTACATCTTATCAAATTTGGGTCTGTGGATCAATTTGGAGTCCTTGACACCTAAAAGGCTGAGAACCACTGCTCTTAAAAGGATAAAGGATAAGTGGGTATAGCTAATGGATGGATGGATAATACATTATGGAGGAAACATAATGCCAACTTTGGGCCTGTCACCAACTTCATGTACCGCTCAACCTCCCTAATTTAATTTCCAAGTAAAAAGAAAAAAAACAGATAGATCGAGAGCTGACACATAGCACAACTTTTCACACTGTCTCCGGTTTAATGCCAACATTATAGCCCATACCAAACAAGACTTCATCAATCAACCTGTCATTCTCCATCTTACCCCAACTCATAACAAAGATCCCAAGAGACTTCAACTGCTTCATTTGTGATAAATCATCTATCTTTTGTTGCGTCCATCCCAACTTTTGACAAATTAAGGTAGTTGGACCTTAACTTCAGCATGTGAAGTTAGATGTGATTAGAGGACCCATGTGTAAGTTTAAGTGCCATCTAGCAGTGTAGTTTCATACTCTCACTTTATCCTCCTGTTCTAGGTATGTAGGGGAAAATATGGTGGCTATGAAACTCTGACACGAAAGGCCCTATCTGGAGCCTATCAGTGTTTGGTTTGTCCATTCTGGGCTACTGTAAAAAGATGGCAGTTCAAGATGGCAGACTCTGTAGAAGAGAACCCACTCGCTACATTTCTGCCAATAGACCCTCCTAAATGTTACACACTGGACCTTTAAGAGCAGAACAACATTGCAACATACAGTCTTGCAAGTATATAGTTCTACCTGTTTTTTATCTAACATATTAATGTGAAGCATGTTTCTGCTTTGTCCTTCATATACAAGCATCCGTTAAAACATCAATATGTTGTTAGTTTTAGGCCTTACAATGAAGAATGTCTCTGCTGTACTGTATTCAGCAAAGCCATTACAGAGCAGATTGGAAAAATAAAATCAATCTCTCTGTTGCAGAGCCAGTTTTTTTGTGGGTATAGACTCTTGCAGTAACTATGTTCTCATCACATCCAGGCTCAAGAGAATGCTTCCCCACTCTCCGCCTCAAGAATAAAATGGTTGCTACACTTTATTGACTTGGAGATGGTATGGCTTAACTGACTGAAACTCTACACCTCAGTCAGCCTTCAAGTTTGATTCATTTAGTTTGAAAAATAGCCCCCCTGGTCCTCCTTGTGGCCTATAGCGGGTTAAGATGATAGTGTAATGGCAGTGTTTTGGGCTCAGTCCCTTCTGGGGACCTTTATTGTTTTCTTGCATTTTGTCCCTCATCTCTCTCTTCATTTTCTGTCAGCTTTATACTGTCTCTGTCTAATTAAGCCAAAAACCCAACAACGCAATAACAAAAAAGAGCTCCCTGGTGGCAGCGTGTACAGTCACTAGTTTCAAAATGCTGAGTGCACACAGAGTGTTGTTAGTGGTGCAGAGTTCTTTGGGGCACACATGAAGACAGGAAAAATCTAGGATCATATGTTCTCCTTGGTTGTAGTAGGGGTCAATCATGGCCAGTCACATTGACTCATCTCATGCCTCTGCTGGCTCCTCTCATTAGCACACAGTCAGTGCTCACCATCTGCTCTTTGTTTAGTGTAAGTTAGTGTAAGTACTGGCCAGATATATCAGTAATTTTTATGTTCATTAGTTTATGAGAGGATTTAGTGCAGGTGAAGGGTTTTGATTGTTGATGGTTTTTATGTGTTCAAGATTTATGTAGAATAAATGGTAATAGGTTACAGGAAATAATGGTTGGTATGGATCAATCTAAATGTATCGTGATCTGGTCGATAGTCCGATTCTAAAGTAATGAATCAGTTGACTGAAGCTTAGCTGCTAACAGCATCTCCACTCTTGTGAAAGATAAAAAGGTCAACACGAGGGTCTTACGACAAGAGCACTTTCGCAATGTCGGTACATAAACATATCCAACAACGGCGACATGATTTCCAGTGCACCATCGAATCTAAAATCTAAAGTTCTGAAGACATTTGGATTTCATAAGAAGATAGGAAAGTCTGACAAAAGTCTAGCCATTTGTAAGATCTGTTGGACAGCAATGAGGTACAGCGGTTTCACGACAAATGTGAACACTCACCTTGTGAGACAGCATGGTGACACCTATGCAGGTGACGAGGAGTCTGTAGATGCTAATACAGCTAGCACAAGCAAGAACATGCAAGACACGGATATTAAAACACAACTTAGGTCCAACTGGGCGAGTTCTAAGGTAATCACAGAAGAAAGGTTTTTGTACTCGGGATTCCCCAAAGTTCCTCTCAGCTCAATGTAACATTTTGGAATGCAATTATACCACACACTAAAACAACACAGTGCCCTGTGGTGTTCTTTGTATTTACTGTGTTAGGTTTCAGTTTAAGAGTGGACGCAAATGCAAACAGGCACCCCAGGGAAGGATGAGTTTACAAAAAGGTATAACTTACTGGAGGTGTTAACAGAACCAGGCAGGGCAACACAAACTTACTAAAGGCAGCTTAAAAAAGGTCCAACAAAGAATCATTCCAACAACAGTAGTTTAACAGGAAGAATCTACAATGATGATCAAAGTTCATTTGGAGCATTGCAGGAATACAATGTGAAACAGAGACACTGGCAACATGCAGGACTAGGGAACAGACACAGATAAGCTGAACTGAAAGAGGGAAATTACATGACTAAATACACAAAAAACTTATTTACTAATGAATCACAGGTAACCCTAATCAGGGTGGGGACTGAGTGGCAGTCGTACAGAACTGCAAAAAAACAATTGAAAACGTAGTATGCATGTCGGGCCAGTAGGTGGCGGTTTAACTTTGCAACTCAACAAATGTTCTGAAACAGCTAAGTCAGGGCATTAGCATCCTATCGCGTTTACCGCACTGGAAGGGCACCTTAGAGGGCACTTAATCTTGTGTAATCTGCCATAGTGGCATCCAAGAGGGTGCTTTGTGGTGTTGTTCGAAAATGGTGGCACAAGGGGGGTGATCCACCCCACCCAATAATCAAGATACATGAGGACAGACTTTTAACATAAAATAGGAAATAACTAAGCGACAGCCCAAAACCATGACACTGTGGTTCATCTGACACTTGCTAATAGATAATACCAGGATGCAAAGGAGACATGCAAAAGTAAAAAGGACACCGAAAAGGTCTGGCTCCAAAGAAGAACCTTGCCTTTGTTTTAACCCTGGTTTTTCCCCCGTCAAAACACAGATAAAAGTCTGAAGTTTATGATCATAAAGTCATGGACTGTATGTGTCAGTTTTCGTAAAATATGCCTTGTTTCTCAAACCTGTGCATCCTCTTACTTATTGCCTCTGTTTTTATTATCAGACCCAAGAGTCCCTAAACCCCAACAACCTGGAGTACTGGATGGAGGACATCTACACGCCGGGCTATGACTCGCTGCTCAAGAGGAAAGAGGCAGAGTTCCGGAGGGCCAAGGCATGTAAGATCGGAGCTCTGATCGCAGCCGCTACCTGCACTGTGATCCTGGTCATCGTTGTTCCAATTTGCACCATGAAAACATGAGAGTACCAGGTGGAGTTTTTTTCTTTTTTCTTTTTAATGCAGTATTTACTTCTGGTGGTCCTTCTTGCCAGTATAAAAATGATTAGGACAGATCCTGTACAATAGAAATGAATTCAGCAAGTGCATAATATCCTGTATACTGTATATCTATTGGTTTAACAGTTGTAGTTTATTGTATTGTTATAAACTGTGCGGGACAAGCTCATTGGTTTAACTGTTTTGAACAGCTGTAGCAGATGATAACTGAACTAAACTATTGGATTTGTTATTGTAGCCAGCGAATGATATTTTTATTTTTCGTATAATTACTGTACAGTGTATTTTGATCAAAGTTATTTTTGATGAATTATCTGGTTGATTGTAAGAATTTCTCATTATTTTGTTATCTTTCTTCAATAACGGCAAGCATTTTAAGTAAGGAAATTTGTGCACATTCATTTTTTCTAATTAGAAATATATTTGAAAGTTGAGGTATACATAGAATGCTGACACAGTATGACTACACAGCCAAACTGAATGTATTGATAATGCCTACTCACTTGGAAAGGAATAACTTGCGATTTACTTGAATGTCGCTGCCCTCTCGTCCTTTTTCTGAATTATAACCAGCCAACAGCATATACCTGCTGCTCTTCCTGAAAACAGTGGATTCATTCTTTTCTTTGCAAGTGTTTGCTCAGTGAATACTTGCAGTTCTGCATCACTGTAGACTATTGAGGCTCAACTGGGAGGATTGTATGGACTCAGCACTATTGATTGGGCCAGCCCCCCACACTAGCACAAATTAAACAGAACTACAACCACCCTCAGAGTGGGTTTGTTCATCCATTCACTGCTGCAGTCTCCTTAAATGCCTTAAATTACTTAACACTTCTGTAGCCCAATGACGTCCATTTCATAGCCTGGCAGCCCTTAGTTTAGCCTTAATACAGAATAGTAGCCTTAATTTTAGTTTTCCTAAGGCTGGTGTAATTGACCGTTCCTAAGTCCCACCCCTTTTTGGTCCTTCCTCCAATAACGCAAGCCTCAGTCAACTTTCCTTACATATTCTATGTGCAAAGCTAATCTATGTTAAAAAAAAGACCACATTTTGAAGATAGTTGAAAGATATTAAGTTAACTAATGTTAGCAAAACGCTACGGAAAATAGCTAGCAAATCTAAAGTAATTGTTAGCTAGCTAGTTACATTTGATAGTGTTAGCAAATCGAAAGCTAATTAACAAGCTAATGTTTGTGTAGATTAATTAGTAAGTTAGCTAGCGTTTTGCTAACATTAGCAAATTGCAGTGTACCTTACCTTACCTTAGAATAAGCTCTTTTTTTTATCTGCCACATGTCACCTTCCATGGAGTCTGCCATTTTTCTAAAGTAGCCCAGAACGGACAAACCAAACACTGGCTCTAAATTGGATCTTTTGTGTTTTTCACAAATTTTGCCGCTACCGTAGTTTCTCCTGCATACGTCACAGCCCTGTTCTCATTTCCAGGTTGTCAAGTACAGATGTGAGTGGTGTTCAATTAGTTGCAATCTGCAGCTTTACCATTAGATGCTACTACATCCTACACACTGGTCCTTTAAGATGTGACGCATACTGTCGCTTTAATCTTTTAACTATCTTCAAAATTTGGTTGTCTTTTCAACATATGAGCCTAGCACATAGCATATGTAGAAAGTTAAAATAGGATCCAAAAGGGGCGGAACTTAGGAAGGGTCAGTTTTATTTTTTAAGGTGAGTAATTTAAAACAGCTGGACACTGCAGATTTTAAGCAAATGTTACTCACAAAAAACCAAATGTTGCATTTGTTGAGGACTGTTTTCAGTGGCATATTAATACACATTTGATGCTCTACTGAGTATTTCTGTCAGTAGCATGATGGTGCATGTGGGAGTCCAAGTGTGTGTGTTCATGGTAATGAAGGAACATGTCACTGTTGGGACAACAATGGAACTATATGGCACAGAGCAAGAAGATATCAGTACAATACTTGTTAGTAGAGGAGTTTATTCACCTCTGTAGTGGTGCTGTTTTATTGGAGTCTATTATGTTTATAAATTGTCTACCATTTTGTTCCCAAACAAATGTGTAAATCATACTTGACAAGATTTTAAATTTTTGTATAATCCTTCGATCTTTATGTTTATGATAATAACAGAAAACAAATGCACACAGCCATGAAGTAATGAATCATTGTCATACACAACTAATCTGGTTCCAGACCATCCACAAATAATCAGATCAGATCAACCAATCAGAGCTTTGGATGTCAGCCCCAGAATAGGGATGTCATCTTTCTACGTAGCTGGCTTTCTACTAAGCTACACCAATAAAACATACTGATGGAAACATGGCCACAAAAGAGAGATGAGCTGCACACGCTGTTGTAAATGGACAGAAATCAACACTGAATACTGAAAATGATGTTGGTAGGATGGATATGTCCCTTACTACTGAACTGTTAGGCCAAAACAAAACAAAAAAAACCCTCTCTTCCCAACTAGCATGCCAACATGAACACAACGTTACACTGAATGAATAAAGTGAAATGAAATGCAATTTTAGTTGGATTATCAGCCATAAAAAGATTCTAGCAATGACTGAAAAGCTTTAGGCTGAAGCCATATTATGTATACACATTGCTTGATGGAATATGATACCGTGATTTTAGAATTATATTTTACCATTCATTTGGATTTCTGAAATGCACTTTTCATCCTGATGATTGCTTCATAGATTCCCACAATTTACTGAAACACATTTAATTTTTTAATTTGTCCCAACATGCACATGCCTTCAAGATAAAACTTGCTGCATCTCTTTGCAAACATGCTTTTACCTATTGTTTGTAAAGTTTTGTGCTTTATACACTCTTTGCGTAATACTTCTATAATCAGATCACAAAATGTTCATACACAGAGCTTTAGTAGGGTCTTGATGATCCGATCTGGCAATAATTCTTATGGCTCTCTTTTGTAGTATGAAAACAGTGTTTTTAATGCTTTTAAAATGCTCTGTCTCTGCCTCTCTACACAGTAGATGGTGTGTATGGAACAACAGTTGAGCAGCAACACATAGAGCATAGAACACATTCTGATTTGGCTGATTGTATATCAGATAACAGATTTTGAATTTCTGTATAACTTTATCTCATTTTCTGTGTTAACTGCAAAAAATCATGAATGAAAAAGGCAGTCCAACCTACACCACCACCACTACTAACTAGCACCCAGAATGATTATTGAGAGACACAATACAACCAGGCTGCTGATAAAACTGCATTTCTTGTGGCCATTGTGAAGCACCCAGTAGTTTTTTATTTCCCCCCACTGATATATACAGATGTGTGCTGTATTGAGGTCCTGCAGTTGACATTACAGCCTCTAACAGTTGACATACTGTTGGGCAGATTCAAGCACTGCTATGTAAATGCAGTAATACTGATGAAAATGGCAGATAAAAGTGAAAGCAGTGCTAAACCAAACTGTTAGAAATTCCATGTATTCCTTTCAATAAACACCACCAATAGAACAGTGTGAGAGAAAACTACACAGGAAGAAACCTTTTTAAAAAATAATAATAATTTGAATCCTTAAATTTATAAATCACTGGTTTCCAACCTTTTCCCTCAAGGTACTCTTTTTCTATCATTAAGTAAACAGACAACCCCTCACTAAGTATCATATTTTATGGATTTTTCCTATGGAGAGAGTTATCATTTATAACACTCATATTGCTAGGCGTTTACTATAGACATTGTAAGAGAAACGGCATTCGGGTTCGTAAAAGGTGTAGTTAAATAAGTGAGGAAAGATATTCAGTTACTATCATCCGTTTGTTTATAAACTAAATAGAATCAGTTGGGGTTGATTTCCCACAATGATCCTAATTGAAGTGTGATTATGCCGAGCACATTGTTGGCCCATTTTCACTTAAGCCATGTTGTCCACATAAAGCCTGCAGCAGGTTACAGTGTTGCTGTAGTCTCATTAGCTAATTAAGAAACAGATGAGGCTCATTGTATGGGATGATGTTGAATTTGTATACAGATTAGCCGAACATTATATTTACGATTTAATTTTCTTATTACTTCGGCATTGTACTGGGGTCGGGGTCACCATGCCAACATCCAGGAGTTGCCAAATTTGAGCTAAAGTTATGTCTAATGCCAGCTTTCAGTGTCGGTGCAGGAAGCAGTCATAACCTTTACTGCACTGTAGTTCCCATGTGCAGATGCTGTAGAATTTTAAAAACATTGACATTAGAAGAAAATAAATGAATATAATACAGCCTATTTCAGATTCCTCCAATCGTCATTTCTGGGCAGGGACAGAATAGGTCATATAATACACATATTTATCTTATTCTTCTACTTTTTTGCCGTCGTTAGGTCTTTAGAGCTTATTTAAAATAAATAGAGATCAGTTGAAAAGCTGCCCTGTTTAATAACCGATTCACTGGTGCACTGCTTCTGCCCTTTAGTGTGGTTCGTGGCGCCTGATGGTGATGTCATTCCAAGACCTCAAAAGTGCAATACACCCCTATATAGTTCTTTTAAGGAGGATTTAACGTGCAAGCTAACAGGTTGTAGTGGCTGATGGGAAAAGGCTGTGAAATCAAATGATACGCTCCCAACCGATCCCTCTGGCTGACTTCCTGAACTCTTGTTGCTCTATTTTTTAGTCAATAACTAGAATGTCATTGTTCAGGATATCAGTTCACTTTCCCCTTCTTAATCACTGCACAAAATAAATGGTTCTGGTTTAGATTGTGAAGCGAAACGGTGTCCATATACTGTCTGCAATGAAGAGAGATGCTGAATTCAGCTGTAAGTAGAGCGTCACTGTTTGTGTTTCTGTTTCTCTTACTGTTAACCATCCACTGCATTGGATCTGCCTTCCGTACAGGAAATGTGAGCTGCAGCACACTGTAGGAGTCTGTAAATAATTTCAGGTTCACAGTGAGGGAGAAGGTGTTAACTGGAATATTACTATAATAAAAATGTATTGTTCTGACTGTTAATGGATCTGTGTTTTTTTATGTTGCAATATTGTGTATTGGTATTCCTGAGAATATTTCATCACTGATGGAAGATATTCTTGTGTATTTATACAAGTCACCATAGATCTTTAATTATCTTTGGTAAGGGCCTTAGTGAAATAATCACTATTTTTATTATTATGTCTGGGTTTCTTAAAAG